ATCTGCATTTATTCTTATCTCATGTATTTTTTCGAATTTTGTAGTAAATGGACAAGGGCAGTGTCCCAATGGTTTCATAGAGAAGTCTTCATTACCTGGTTTAGTAAATGATGCTGTCACTAGACCTGAGGGATACTTGCATCTGTTCCTTTCCGTTCATTTTACTTGTCAAGTTGAAGTATCTAGCTTTATTCTTCTAGCAACAGAGGATGATGGAGTAGGAGAATATCCTTTTATTCAGATATGGAGAGAAACATCAACTAACTTGTACGATAGAATTTATAATATTGGTAGCAGTGATGAGGTGACATTCCTTGGTAATTCATTATATCAATATACTTCTACTGGTGGGAATATTACTGTACTACCTGGTGACATATTGGGACTAGTGGCATTATTTGATTCTGATTCTAGAGTCACTCCTTATCTCCTCAATCAATCCTCACCACAGTATTATGAAATATCAGCTGGATCAGGACAATTAGGACTTGATCAAATATTTACTGGTCAGCAGTCCAATTTTCAGAACCAGTACTCACCACTTGTTGCCATTGAACTAAGTAAGAAGATTAATGTAGCTTATAACTGTTTATACTTTTGTTCCTTTCTATTTATGATAAGAGTTAACCCATTTTCATCATAAAGTATATCATCATTAGTACAGACAATTACCACAACTTTTTTATGGTATAATAACATCAACAGGTGATATATCTAGATACTTATAAGTTATATTGCTTGATTGATTGATTCAGTGAAATTAGAATTTTGATGAGAATTAATTCCATGAATTATAAATAATTATTGTTCGTGGAACTAACTTGTAGTTTACAGACATGCATGCACGCTACATTATTGTCAATTATCCTTCTATATTTTGACTATCCCTCTTTCTTCTTTCCTATTATAGTTTATTCATCATCATATACAAGTTTAACCAGTACTGATTACTCAGCTCTCATTATGACTTCATCATCAAGAATGTACTTTGTACCAACAACTGTGTCTATTTTATCAACTTACTCATCTCCATCAGTTTCACAAATGTCAATGCCCACGTTGCTTACATCTAGTTCTTTATCTACAACTTCAACTCCTTCTCTCTCATCTCCCACTACTTTTTCTCCAATATTAGCTGGTGTAATTGGAGGAGCAATTGTTGCTGTGGTGTGCATTATTGTGTGTCTACTCTTGCTACTAGTGATTGCAGTATACTGTGTAAAAAAGAAAGGACATTATTTTGAGGCTGATGGGCGAGCTGCATTAGGTTTACAAACATTTTCAGACACTAACATTGAACAAAGAAGTAATCTAGCATATAACCATCCTACCAATGGTAGTGCTACTGAGATGTAGAGTAATGCAGCATATGCAAGATCTAGTGCCAATTTTACTGTTCCAATAGTGGGAAGCACTCAAGTTGATACTTATGCTACAATTCAAGAAGAAGACAATGATAATTACATTTGATTATATGTAGATCTATAGACTCTACTGCATAATTTTAGATATCTATAAAAATTTTAGTCTACATAGATCTAATTAAACTTTTCCTTATATTGACTATGTTCCTACAGCTTTAAATTTTTTGTAGCATTTGTTTACTTCTGTAGATTAATTAAGTTATGAATAATAATTATTAATTAAATAATAACTTTAATTTTAATTTAATTTTAATCATGATTTTACAAGATGCGAAAACAAAAACTAGATAGTATAACAAAGAAGAGAGAGAGAGCAAAGAACTGATAGCTGGGTCATTTCTTTAAGATCATGTTGTCTGTGTTTCGTCTTCTCTCACTCTTGATCTGTAGTGTTGGGGTATGGGTATCAACAGGTAAATAATCTGCATTTATTCTTATCTCATATATTTTTCCAATTTTTGTAGTAAATGGACAAGGGCAGTGTCCTAATGGCTTTATAGAGCAGTCTTCATTACCTGGTTTAGTAAATGATGCTGTCACTAGACCTGAGGGCTACCTGTATTTCTTCTTTTCTGTTAATTTTACTTGTCAATTTGAAGTATCTGGCTTTATTCTTCTAGCAACAGAGGATGATGGAGTAGGAGAATATCCTTTTATTCAGATATGGAGAGAAACATCAACTAACTTGTACGATAGAATTCATAATATTGGTAGCAGTGATGAGGTGGCATTCCTTGGTAATTCATTATATCAATATACTCCTACTAGTGGGAATATTACTGTACTACCTGGTGACATATTGGGACTATTGGCATTATCCAATTCTAATTCAAGAGTCACTCCTTATCTCCTCAATCAATCCTCACCACAGTATTATGAAATATCAGCTATATCATCACAACTAGGACTTACTTAAGTATTTGCTAATAATCAGCTCAATTTTCGTAACCAGTACTCACCGCTTGTTGCTATTGAATTAAGTAAGCAGTTGTAGGCGTATATTGTTTATACTTTTTGTTCCTTTCTATTTATGGTATAGTGAACCATTTTCATCATTAGGTATATCATCATCAATACTGACAACTACCACATTAACATCTGCTCCTACAAGTATAATAACATCAACAAGTGATATATCTAGATACTTATAAATTTGTAGTATTGCTTGATTGGCTGATTTAGTAAAGTTATAATTTTGATGAGAATTAATTCCACAAATTATAGCAATTTGTAAATAATTATTGTTTGTGGAAATGGGGGAATGTAGCTTGTAGTTTGTAGCTACACTACATTTTTGTCAATCCTTCTATATTTTTACTATCCCTATCCCTCTTCCTTCTTTTTTCCTATTATAGTTTATTCATCATCTTATACAAGTTTGACCAGTACTAAATACTCAGCTCTCATTATGACTAAGACTTCATCATCAAGGATGTACTTTGTATCAACAACTGTGTCTATTTTATTAACTTCCTTATCAATACTGACAACTACCACATTAACATTTGTTGCTACAAGTAGTATAATAACATCAACAGGTGATATATCTAGATAAGTTTGTAGTATATATATATATACTGCTTGATTGATCGATTGAGTGAAATTCAAATTAATTAATTCTACAAATTATAGCAATTGTACATATTGTTTGTGGAATTGGTGGAATGTACCTTGTACAACCCTTTACCATCTCTCTTCCTTCTTTTTTTATTATAGTTTATTCATCATCATATTCATCATCAAAGATGTACTTTGTCTCGCCCCATCCTATAACTTCAACTCCTCTCTCATCTCCTACTATTTCATCACCATATTCATCATCAAGGGTGTACTCTACAACTTCAACTCCTTTTCTCTCGTCTCCTACTATTTTTTCTCCAATATCAACTGGTGTCATTGGAGGATCAATTGTTGCTGTAGTGTGCATTATTGTGTGTCTACTAATGATTGCAGTACATTGTGTGAAGAAGAAAGGACATCATTCAGAGGCTGAAGATGGTGGAACTGCATTAGGTTTACAAACATTATCTACAATGAAAATTGAACAAAAGAGTAATCCAGCATATTCTACTGTAACCATTATTAACGATCCTACTTATGACAGTGCTACTGAGATGCAGACCAACGTAGCTTATGCTAGTACTAATTTTGATACTGCAACAGTAGATGCTTCATACACTGAAGTTGGTACTTATGATATAATTCAAGAAGAAAACAATGATGATTACATATGATTTAATTGCTGCATAATGATCATGTTGATTTTTAGATGCTTCTGATTTTAAAGCTAATGAATAATTAATTAGTTAATATTTTTAGATTTAATAGTTATAGTTATTATAGTTAATTAATTTCGTTTTTAATTTTATAAGGACTGACTCTGATAAAAGCAGTCAAAGCACACACATCAGTAATCATGTTGCCTGTGTTTCGTCTTCTCTCACTCTTGATTTGTACTGCTGTATGTGTATCAACAGGTAAATAATCTGCATTCTTTTTTATCTCACTATTTTTTCCGATTTTTGTAGTAAATGGACAAGGGCAGTGTCCTAATGGTTTCATAGAGCAGTCTTCATTGCCTGGTTTAGTAAATGATGCTGTCACTAGACCTGAGGGCTACCTGTATCTGTTCTTTTCTGTTAATTTTACTTGTCAAGTTGAAGTATCTAGCTTTATTCTTCTAGCAACAGAGGATGATGGAGTAGGAGAATATCCTTTTATTCAGATATGGAGAGAAACATCAACTAACTTGTACGATAGAATTCATAATATTGGTAGCAGTGATGAGGTGACATTTCTTGGTAATTCATCTTATCAATATACTTCTACTGGTGGGAATACTACTGTACTACCTGGTGACATATTGGGACTATTGGCATTATCTAATTCTAATTCAAGAGTCACTCCTTATCTCCTCAATCAATCCTCACCACAGTATTATGAGCGACGAGCTGGAGGAGAACAACTAACACTTACTCAAGTATTTGCTAATAGTCAGCTCAATATTCGTAACCAGTACTTACCACTTGTTGCTATTGAACTAAGTAAGAAAAATTAACTGTACATATGCCTCTATCCCTTTCTTTTTTGTATATTATAGTGGTCTCATTTTCATCAAGTATATCATCAACAATACAGACCACCACCACTATGATCACCCCCACCACCACTACTACTGCTACTATTTCAATTGCTACAAGTATGATAACATCAGCAAGTGATTCAATGACCAGTTCACTAATAGCTACTACACCTGGGGCTAGTAGTAACACTCTATCACTCATTGTAGCATCAAGCACTACTCCATCAGACTCATCCTCTAATGCTGGTATGCCTTCAATTACTAGTCATCAACCTACTGTTACACCATTACCTCCCTCTTTCTCTTCTACGATTGGTACAACACCTCTCGGATCTCTGTCTTCTTCTTCTCTCTCTATACTCCTCTCATCATCTTCTCCCTCTTTTACCATCTCTACAACTCTTTCTTCTTTCTCCATGACTTCTCTTCCTTCTACTTCTGTTTTACTTTCCCCTCCCTCCTCCTCTCTCTCATCTTCTCCATCCACATCTCCTCCCCCTCCCTCTGTTTCCTCATCCCCCTCCTCTTCTCCTCCCTCCTCTGGGTCATCTGTACTAACAACAGCTGTTATTTCTGGTGTCGTTGTTGCTGTTGTTCTTATTCTTATCATCATTGGACTTATATTTTTACTGGTCCTGCTCTTTGGCCTTGGAAGAAAGAGGAGAAGACAAAAATACTCTCCGACTGATGACAAAACCAAAGATACCTTTGACAATCCAAACTACACAGGTATAGTAATAGTATAATAATAATTATCCACCCTTGATAGTACCAATGATAGCTAATGATTAAATGAGTAGGCTTGGATGATAAATGCAATTTTAACATAACGTATACTGGCATTGTATCAAGTAATTGGGTAAACAAAGTTAACAAACTAACAAAATAAAAACAGTTCAAATGTACATGTAGATGACTATTTACTATCTCATCTATGATTGAATGTAAAGCTTTACAGTTTAGATGACATGTACAGTACATGTGCCTACATGTTGCTTTTTGCTGTTTCCTAGCATTGTCTAGTCAAAACATTAAGGTAAGCTTACAGTCTGGCTTGCTTTCACTGCTTTAAGTTGATAATAATGTCCAGTAAAGGTATATAGAATGATAATTGGTGTTCAGTAAACAGCCTAATTAGCACTTAATCTCTAGCTGTCATTGTTGTTATTATTATTATTATTATTATTGTTAATTTATATTGTGTAGGTGTAGTATCAAATACTAACGTACTCAGTCCCAGCTCTACGATGACTGGTGATAACTTTGTGACTCATTATGAGATACCAGGCTATCAAGACCCAGGGTTAGGGTCGTCAACGATGCCACGAGAAACCTTATACGACGTAGCACAAGTACCTCCGCCTAACAGCATAGTAAAGAAGGAAGGAACTAATGGAGCAGTGTATGATGAGGCCAGACCTACAGGCACTAAGAGTGGAGGCATAACTAGTATATATCATGAGCTAGGGCCTGATGATGGAATGCATTATGAGTTTGGACCCACTGGGACTGACACTGCCCCTCATTATGAGACGAACTCTGGGTTTATATACGAGATGGAGACAGTCCCGTCTGGATATGAGCAACCAGTTATATCACGTTCTAATACTATGAAGAACCATGCTACCACTAATAATACACCAGCACCTCATCCTGGTAATGGTACTGTGTCACCAGGAGTTAATCATTATGACGTGTTGGAGGAGTCACTGATGGGTGCTGATCCTAATGCTAGTGATACTGTTAATCATTATGATGTTCTTGATGACGTTAATGTAAGCAATTGTTGGTTTAGCTTAAAATGAACACTGATTTTGTTATCATTGGCCGAGTAATATAAAGTTATGGCTCTCCCCATGTGTATGTACATCATGTTTTCACTTATTCCCTCTGTCTCTATTCCTTTCTTAGAGCAATTCTAAAGACATTCATGACTACAGCGTCCTAAGTGGTAAAGATATTTATGTTCCTACCAAAGTAAGGCTAGTGATGTGGTTTCCTTGTAGTGTTATGGGCACAAGTTGTGTACTATTAGTACTTCTTGGGCATTATTAGAGATTCTAATAAGGCTTTGGCAGGAAGAGAGGGGAGGCTTGCTGACACCAATGAATCAAGACTAATTTTGGTAGCATTGAGCTTTGTTATTAATAGACTAATGTATCACACATGGTCCTGTTGCCTTGTAGACTTGTTCTTGTTCTGTTACATGCTTTGGCTTGTTATACCTTATTCTCATTATTATTTCCACTCTCTCTCTCTCTCTGTCTCTATTAGGAAGAAAGGCGGGTAGTGTCACAAAGTGAAACACAACTAACTGAGAGCATTTATTCTTTACTGGAGGAGGTGAGAAAAACAAAATTATGTATACCATAGATACTGTACAATATCAATGTTTACACAGAGGGAGAGAGAGAGAGAAGGTGGGTTTGTATTAACATGGTCTAAACATACATTTTGTGTGTATATTAGTTTACTATTGTTTTCGATATGAATTGATCAATTTCAACTATCTTATCATGCATGCATAGCTTAACCACAATGTCATTCACAGCATGTGGGTATGCCTAGTATAATTATGGTATTATTGTATTTATTAATTGTATTATGAGAGTTCCCGTAGACACATTCATGGACTGTTTACCTTTTATTATCAGCCCTGCTCACACATAATTGCATTTATAAAGCCATTAATCTGATTCGAGCATTAATTGTATCTTGTATGGGTTGTGTCCTAGCATATATATTCTATTACAATGTTAATAGTTATAATTGATGCTATTTTTATTGTTTATTCTTGTCTCAGACTCAGAGACAGAAATATGAGAACGTGAGGTTTTTTGAAGAGTCTGACATATACTGGAGACCAGCCTGCCAGGCGTCAGATCTTTATGATCAGTTAGCCAAGAGAAAATACAGAGAGATAAGACAGAATCAACTGAGGTAAGAGGGAAAAAGAGTACTGTATAGCGGGAAATTTTGGAGGGAATCAAATTTGGCAAATTTGGCATTTTGATAGCCATTTGCCAAAATAAAATCTACCATTTTGAACCATGATACGCATGCTCAATGGCACGTGAACACAAATTTGGAAAATTAAAATTTACCAATCATCAAAATTTAGCAATTCATCAAATTTAACTCCCTCCAAAATTTCCCGCTATACCGTATATGCTCTATTTATTCATATTTTGAGTAGTTTTGTTTTGTATTTTGCAAAATAAACATACTATGCCTTAGAATTAGATTATGTATCCACTACACATCAGCCCACATGTATTGGTAGTGACAGCCTCGCCTTCAATAAAGGAAATGTAATATTAAGTTACCAGCTGCTAATTAGTTAAGTAATGCAGTTAAGTTTCTTATATAAGTTTGCACAACATTACTAAAATGTTAATTTTATAAATCAATAATAACGATTTTTAATATACTCAATGATTATCTATTAGCTGTCAGTTTCTTGAAGCAATTTTTTTTGGAAAAAACATGCTATTTTCAAAAAGAGCTTTTCCACTTTTTTGTAAATATAATCATTATTCTGTCGTAGGCTAGTGAAGCACCTTGGTTCTGGTCAATTTGGTACAGTTAATGAAGGAGTGTGGCATTCTCCAACTGGTGAGGTGAAAGTGGCTATTAAGATGCTACCAAAAGCTTGCAAAGAGGAAGAGAAGATAAAGCTTTTGCAAGAGGCGGCCATTATGGGGCAGTTCTCTCATTCTAATGTTGTCACACTCCATGGGGTTGTCACTGTTGGTGAACCAGTAAGCAATTGTATTATATAATTAATAATTTATTATTATTGAGATCAAATTTAGTGTAATGTATTTTATATTTTTTTCTTCTTTCTATAGTTGATGATAATTATGGAGTTGATGAAGAATGGTGACTTGAGAAATCACCTTCTCTCAATCAGAAAAGAGTACTTTCTTAATTCACTAGCTGTCATTTTACTCTCTCTTTACCTATAGTTTAGAAACATCTTCTGATGATTTGTTGCCTTCCAAACTCTTAAAGTTTTGCCAGCAGATTGCCAATGGGATGAATTATTTGTCAATGAAATCATTTGTACATCGTGACCTTGCAGCGAGAAACGTATTCTTAAATGATCGTTTTATATGTAAAGTAAGATATCCATTATTTACATTTATTTATTCATGCATTCAGATTTATATGCATGTTGTTGCATTTTTTACAAATTTTTAAATTGCTAAAAAAATTAAATCGAAGTCCCTGTATTATAGTACAAGGTCATGGCCAAGTTTCGCCAAAAATGAAAAGAATATAATTCTTAATTTTTATAATTTTTCCTGATGCATATACATGTACTTATGTTGCGTAGAAAGTTTGAGCTGATTCTAATCAAAATTAATTTTTTTACAAATTTTTAAAGTTGCTCAAAAATTGGGCCAAAGTCCCTGTACTATGGTACAGGGATTTTGGCCAAATTTCGTCAAAAATGAAAAGATGAGAATTTTCCATTTTAATAATTTTTTATGATGCATATACATGTACTTATGTTGCATAGAAAGTTTGAGCTGATTCTGATCAAAATTAAATTTTTTATGAATTTTTAAAGTTGCTAAAAAATTGAGTCAAAGTCCCTGTACTATAGTACAGGGTCATTGGTCAAATTTCGCCAAAAATGGAAAGAAGATAATTTTCCATTTTAATAATTTTTTTTGATACATATACGTCTATTTATGTTGCGTAGAAAGTTTGAGTTGATTCCGATCAAAATTAAATTTTTTATGAATTTTTAAAATTGCTCAAAAATTTTTCCAAAAATAAAGAGAAGATAATTCTCCATTTTTATAATTTTTTTCTGATAAATAATTTTACATGTACTTATGTTGTGTAATACCCTGTACTGTAGTACGGTATTTTGTCAAAAATTGCTAGGAGAAAGTTCTCAATTTTTTTAAATTTTTTTTAGTAATAGCAACAGGATTAAAATCTCAAGCATTTTATTCCAATTAATTATAATAACAATAGTAATTATGATATATGTTGTTTCAGACCTTATGTCCACCGATTGTATTGAATTTAGTAACTAATAATAATAGCTACAGATATAGAAATACTTTCCTTATAACAGATTGGTGATTTTGGTATGTCACGTGACCTTGAAGATGAGAACTATTACGTGTCACACGGTGGAAAGGTACCAGTTAAATGGACAGCACCAGAGGTATGTACATGTCCTTATCCCACTCTCTGTCCCTCTCTTCCTACTTTTCCTAACTGTTCCATTACATATTTCCTACATTTCAGGCTTTATTATACAAGAAATATGCACCAACCACTGATGTATGGAGTTACGGGGCTGTACTGTATGAGATGTGGAGTTTAGGACATAAACCATTTGAAGAGTATTCAAACCAACAGGTAGTGTGAGACACTCTTGTAGTAGGTGTGGTTCATGCATTGTTTTTGTGTAGTATATGGAGATGATACAGACTGGGTATCGTCTGCCTCCTCCTCCTGGTTGCCCTAGAGGAATATATCAATTGATGATACACTGCTGGTATGTGTGAGTGGTTGTGTGTTAATTTGTTATATGTGTGTAAGTAGAAATAAGAATATGGAAGGGTGAGAAGAGGATTTAATGGGATTTAATTTATTTGTATTTTTTTTTTGCTTTTACACTCTTTGTCTTGTTTTCTTTTATTATCAGGAACCCTGACAGTAACCACAGGCCAACATTTAAGGATATTCTTGATACATTGGCAGAGGATCCAGAGGGTCTCCTTCATTGGAGTGATGATAATAAAGCAGCTCATGAGTCTTCCTCTGTCCTTGGATCAGATTTAGAGGCAGGTCAAGACTTGTATCCGGAACTGCAGCAAATTTTTGTTAAATCTAAAATGAAAATATAAAAAGCTACCAATCTTCTTGTTTCTCTCCCATCTCTGTCATTAATCACTCTTTCTCACACCAATAATGTATAATCTGATGATTGTTGTATTTTTATGTGTATATCCTTTTTGCGGTTTTGCTTTTTAATACCGATTTCATTTTAATTTTTAATGTAGATTTTTATATTATGAAATTTGCTTCCACAAGGCTATATAAAAGAGATAGTGGTATCTATTTAATTTACTATTGTCAATTCTGCATTGTTTATGTAAACAGAACTTGTCTAAACTGTTATATTGTATTACTACTACTGGTACGTGCCTATAATTGTCCCCACAATAAGGAAGAAGCTAAGGCAGTGTAAAGATGCTGTGTGGATTGATGTTACTGTTTCTTCTCTCTCTGTCAAAAGGTATTAGATAGATCTAGTTTTCTATTTAATGTTTGATGATACTGGCTAGGTACTGAGCAATGTACAGAGAGGTTTATGGAGCTACCACTAGTGACATACAGAGTACAGAGAATAGGAATGAATCTACCTGAAACATATGTGAGTAGTAATACACTGAGAGTCCTTCAAGAGTATCAGTTCAATTGTTCATCCACTAATATAACCAGTCTTATATTGGGTATTAATATAAGGGAAGCTACTGGTAGTCGTAATTTCTATCCCAGTGTCCAGGTCTTTAGACCTAATGGTAGTCTAGTGACTGGTAGTGAGAGAACTATTTATTATTCTACCTCTAATGTCAGTACTAGTGGAGTGTTTGAATATCCACTCAATCCTCCTATACCAGTAATGAGTGGAGACCTAATAGCTGTATCACAACGAGGACAGGCAAGCAGTGCTGTTAGAGTCTATTATATCAGTGGTATAACAGCAAATAGTCAGGAGTTTAGCTATGGTAATACTTATGTTGACTTAAATAAAAGTCAAATCACAAATCAGTTGATATTAGTATATCCAGTAACAGGTAAGACACACACTCACTGTATCATTGAATTATTTTACTATCATTAGATGGATACTGTGTTAATAGTGCCAATTCAATCAATGCTTCATTTATTAAAGAGAAAGCACTTGAAGTACAAAGACCACAAGTCTTCTATCTTCAACACCAGTTCATTTATCCATGGATTGTATTCTCATGTAATGGATCAGTTACTAAATGGATCTTTGGAGCTAAAAATAATGGAAACACTCCTATTCAATCTGAGTTCCAAATATGGCGTCAACTGGGTCCCAATAATTACAATAAAATAGGATCTAGTTTAGTTAATGCTAATACAATGATTGGTACTAATCTCTATGAGTTTATTCCTCAGACTCCACTGCAGTTCCAGGAAGGAGACATATTTGGTGCTTACAGTGGGAGAAGATTAGTTCTATATGAACAGAGAGAGAGTGGACCAACTAACTTACGAATCAGTGATAGTCTAGACTCTCCTCCATCAACAATATCTGAAACACTTAGTACAGTAAACAATGATTTTCCATTAGTTACTGTGGAGATAAGTAAGTTTTTAAATTTCTGTTTAAAGTTATCTGTTTTATTAGGTGTTAGCACTGAGTCTGTTCTTGTTGTAACCTCATCTGTGGATAATAGTCCTGTAATTTCTATTACTTCAGTAAGTTATGAGTTAGCTATTTTCTTGAGAGTCTTTATTTTACTTTCAGTTTCCAAGTATTATGAATTCTCCACCTTCAACTGAATCCTTTCATTCACCATCCTCCTACTTACAAACTTTAAACATTGCCTCTCAATCAATGAGACGTATTGCCATTTTGTCATCTCAAGTAATAGCGAATTCATCAGAAACTCCAATACCAACAAGCACTCAAACTAGTAATGCCATTATTAGTACCACTACTACCACTAGTACCACTTCTAGCTCTAGTGGTAGTGATAGAGTGTCATTTATGACAACAGTAGATGATACTTTACTGTCAACTTCATCATCAAATGTCATAGGCAACCCTGCAAGCAACACTAGTGGGTCAATGACAATCATCATTGCTGGAGTGTCATCATTGATATTACTAGTGGCTATTGGACTAGTTGTGTCATTGTTAGTTGTTATTACTGCTTGCCGTATAAAGAGAAAGAAGAGTAGAGGGATTGATTTTGTCTCCCAAGAGAGAGACAGTGCCTATAATAATCCAACATACGGAGAAAATCATTATGTCAACACAAAACATAGTCTTTGTATAAATTCAAAAGAACGAAGTTGTTCCTATGAAAGTGAGTGTGTGTTTGTGTACTGTTGATGTTTCAGTTTAATCTGTGCCTTTTAATGTGATGTAGTTACTAATGATGTATATGGAGAGCAAGAGCTAGTAGGCTCACTGAATCCCTTACTATCAGCAAATGATGGTATATCTAATACACTGATGACTTTAGAAATGAATGAAGAAATATATGAAAACAAAGCAATTGAAGAACTCTATTCAGAAGCTGCTGTTGTCCCTACCTCTGCTCTAGTGAGTATACAGAATCTAATAAACATCAGTAACTAATGCACAACATGTTTATACTGATGTAAATTATTAGATTAAAATAAACAGCATTGCTATTTATTATGCTTTGCATCGATTACTTATACTTTCTCGTTTCAGGGCATGTACACAGCAACAACCAATGAAAGCAGTGAATATCATACTTTACAGAGAGAGCTATGTGTGCCTAAAGCAGTGAGTTATCCTAACATGACAACATCTTATAATTATTCTGTAGTCTGAAAGAAAACAAACTAT